ACTAACACACAAAGGTCCTTCAGGGGGGAAGCCAAAACAGTCACTAAGTTACATGGCTATCAAGCGGATTGATACTTTGAAATAAAAGACTATTTTGGTTTATAATGAAGGGAAATTTAGCAACGGCAACGTTAATTGAAGAGTGATGTTATTCAAGATAGAATATTTAATAGAGTGGTAAAAACCAATATTCAATAATTAATCAGAATGAAATATACAATACAGGCTTAATAATCTAATATTAATGTTTTAAATTTCTTACCACTGGAGATTCATTATCATCAACAATCTGTTCTACAACATCACTACCACGTTTTGTGTATGAAACAGTGAAGCTTATAATTGCAGCTTTCTTGCTGTTAATTTCAACACCTGTTACTTTCAAAGGTTGTGAATATACAGCCTCGAGGAATGAATCAATACTTGGATTCCATCCTGATGATCCAATATGAGTGATACCACTGACATCTTCACCAGCTTCTGTACTACGTTCTCGTTCCAAACGATCTTTGATGGTCCTCAGAGATTCAACACATTCTGAAGGCAACACATAGTTAAAAATCACATATAAATATTACTGAAAAAATCGTTAAATAATTATTTTACACAAGAGAGACAACTTTCAATTATATCAATTATGTTAAGCATACCGTGAATAGGAGTAGTTGTTGGCAACATTGTTGTAGTTGTTGGCATCTTAGTTGTGGTTGTTGGCATTTCAGTAGTGGTCGTTGGCATCATTGTTGTGGTGGTTGGCAACATTGTTGTAGTTGTTGGCATCTCTGTTGTTGTAGTTGGTAACATTGTTGTGGTTGTTGGCAACATTATTGTAGTTGTTGGCATTTCAGTTGTTGTAGTTGGCAATGTTGTTGTGGTTGTTGGCAACACAGTTGTAGTTGGTGGCATCTCTGTTGTTGTAGTTGGCAACAATGTTGTGGTTGTTGGCAACATAGTTGTGGTTGTTGGCATCTCCGTTGTGGTCGTTGGCAACATTGTGGTCGTTGTTGGCAACATTGTTGTGGTTGTTGGCATCACTGTTGTGGTTGTCGGCATCATTGTTGTCGTAGTTGTTGGCATCTCTGTTGGTGTAGTAATCTCAGTTGTCGTCTTCAAAGTTGTTTCCACTAAAATTATTAGGAAATATACAGTGGAGTGGTTAGAAGGGTCTTTAAGTCTTTCTATAGGCCTGAATACTACCATTGTACTTAAGCCAACATTATAAGTTACAATATTCGCATTATCACTCCAATAGACAGTGATCGGTAGACTAGATAATTATCACGGTCTGAAATATTGCCTGAAAAATATGTACCTCTTTCAAAGCAGCCAAAGAAGGTGGTGTCAAAAGCTGGTAAACTTTCTATGTCCACGGAAATAAGTGTTATAAGAATCTGTCTTGTGTTAGGCATCTCTGGTAAATTAATTGCTTCAAATTTACTTGATGCAATGAGTTTGTCAACAGAGAACCCCTGAAAATGAAACAACATTAAAAATCAACACAAAAAAAACAAGTGTTTAAAATGATTAAAATTGCATCATCAAACACCAACTAGCTCGCCTGTGGCAAGAAGAAACGATTAGATGATTTTTTCATTGCGAAATTGAGTTTTGATAACGACCACATCAAACACCTACAAAAAACTTCATATGGTTGTTATGTATGGTGGTCTCGTGAATTCTTTTTCACTAACCATCATTTTATTATTTGAACCCCTATCCCAGCGAATGACTCAGGCTAAGTACCTCAATCGACAATAAAGAGCTTTACAAAATACTGTAAACATTTTATCATGCTAAAAAAACGTTTATGTTGCAGTATATCAAAAACCTGCATTGAATAAACTTAGAAAACAATAAAATACTTGAAACATATTGGTAGAGATGTTCTGCTGTAAGGCGAATTGGATTGATGATTGATGCTGTATATGAATCAGCTGTAAATATATTGAGACTAATATATTTTGAACGAAATATATCGATATGACTTACCTCTCCCAAAGATATGTATTCATTGGTATCCTCACTAAGGTATTCAACATTCACGACTATATTGCTTACATCTTCAATACTGGACATGACAATCTTTGTAACCCTTGTTGGCTGATTAAAGCTCACGATAAGAGTTTTCAATTCGTCGGTGGGATGCCAAGCATCTTCTTCATTAAGCTTTGTGTCATCCTCTAGATATCGACTAAGGTCAAGACCTACTTCCATTCCAAGATCATCAACACAAATCTCTGCATTGTTATAAAAATGGGTTTTGAAAGAAACAAAAATAACAATATATAAATATAAAATGTTTACTATTAAGATGAATTGGTTTTTTTTAAGAATCCCTATTTGGGAAAATGTAATGAGAACTTGCTAGATGTTTAGGTCTGTTCATTAGGACTCATCAATCTTTTTCTATTATTTTATTCGCATAGGGTGTCAAATAGTTTTTACTACATATTTTTTTTATGAATATCTTAAATTAATTATAGGCAACCATAAAGCATTTGACAATAGTTAGACGTGTATTATTGTACGGAGGAGAAGCATGGTAGATTAACAAATCAGATGAGCAGAAGTTAAATACATTTCAAAATAAATGCCTACGGAGATAGTAAACATTGGATGGACCAACAAGATAAGCAATGTAGAACTAGCAAGAGACGACACATTGTAATGAAATTAGCATAGAGGTCAGAAGGAGGAGGTGGTAGGGCGTTGGTCATGTACTCAGAAGGCCGGAAGATAACAACTGCAGAGAGGCAATGGCATGACAACCTCAAGGGAAACGTATCAAATCAGTTATTATGCAATTGAGGCTATCCATAAACAAAAACTGGCCCCCAACCCCATACGAGGTGTTAGGGGACTCCTTATTATCATATTTTAAGAAACAACACATGCTGCTTGGATACCAGTGCAGGAAAAATGAATGCATAGGCTTGGTAGACATAGTTAGGTTAGTTAATAATTTTGTAGTTTTTCAAAAGACATTTTTAAAATTGTATTAAATTATGTAATATGGACAAAACAATTTCTTAAATGTGTTTAGATTATTACCTGTCACTCGAGTTGTTTCTCTGGTTGTGACAGTTGTAGTCTTTGTTGTTGGCATTTGTGTAGTAGTTGGAAGTTCAGTTGTTGTAGGCGGGGTAGTTGTCTCCGTAGTGGTTGTCCTGATTGTAGTCATAGTTGTGGTTGGGGTTAAAGTTGTTGTTTTGACGGTGGTGGATAAAATTGTGGTTGTTGGCATTTCTGTCGTTGTGGTTGGCATTTCTGTCGTTGTGGTTGGCATTTCTGTCGTTGTGGTTGGCATTTCTGTTGTTGTGGTTGGCATTTCTGTTGTGGTTGTTGGCATCATTGTTGTAGTGGTTGGCATCTCTGTTGTGGTTGTCGGTAACAGTGTTGTGGTTGTTGGCAACATTGTTGTAGTTGTTGGCATCTCTGTTGTGGTGGTTGGCATAATTGTGGTTGTCGGTATCTCAGTAGTGGTTGTTGGCATCTCTGTTGTAGTTGTAGGCATCTCTGTCGTACTTGTAGGCATTATGGTTGTATATACTGCACATACAAATTAAAAGTATATCGGAAGCTTTTAAAATACGCTAAATTTAATGAAATAAAACTATTTTATTCAATAAACATTTATTAACAGATTTTAAAGGGAATATACTTACCATTTTCAATACAACCAACAAATTCAAATGTCACCTTAATTTCGTCATCTGGAACATTTGTTAAAGTTATTTTGATAGTGGTTACATCAAGAATTCCTTCATTAGAGAACAACAGTCTGTCGGTCAAACCATTTCCGCTAAGCTCCTTTTCAAAGACCTGTTCAATTCAAAACAATAATAAGCATGTATTTCTTTCTTTGAAAAATAACAAAAAGTGAATAAATTAAACAAAAATAACCATAAAGTAGTCAAGCAATTTTCTAAATGCAATAATTCTTATTGTGAAACATTAATACATTTTAAACATAATTTAAAGAATCAATAAAGGCATTTTAGATCATACAATAAGTAAAAGCTTAAATAGTAAAAAAAAATATAGACAATTTTGAATAACATCACAAGATTAATATTAAAAAATATTCAACAATGAATTTAAAAAGAAATACTCAGTACAGTCTTAATAACTTTATAAAATTACTTACCACTGGAGATCCATTATCATCAACAATCTGTTCTACAACATCACTACCTCGTTTTGTGTATGAAACAGTAAAGCTTATAATTGCAGCTTTCTTGCTGTTAATTTCAACACCTGTTACTTTCAAAGGTTGTGAATACACAGCCTCGAGGAATGAATCAATACTTGGATTCCATCCTGATGATCCAATGTGAGTGATACCACTGTCATCTTCACCAGCCTCTGTACTACGTTCTCTTTCCAAACGATCTTTGATGGTCCTCAGAGTTTCAACACATTCTAAAGGCATGATATTCACAATAGTTTAGCATTAAAACATTTTTAAATAAATGTTTACAAATGTAGATAACTTTCATGTAAATTACAGTATAAGTCTATCAAAAGTAATCACTTTCCCCTCTTAATTTATGTGTATTTAGGCAAAGCGGACCTTCAGACAATTTTTGAATGTAAACAAATCAAGCCTTCGTGTAATAATTCCAATTGTGTATGAAATAATGTAAAATAATGTAAAATACCGCTTCACTTACCACGGAGAGTTGTTGGCATCTCTGTTGTTGTAGTTGGCATTTCTGTTGTGGTTGTCGGCATCTCTGTTGTGGTGGTTGGTACTTCTGTTGTAGTTGTTGGCATCTCTGTTGTGGTTGTTGGCAACATTGTTGTTGTTGTTGGCATCTCTGTTGTTGTAGTTGGTAACATTGTTGTAGTTGTTGGCAACATTGTTGTAGTTGTTGGCATTTCAGTTGTGGTAGTTGGCAACATTGTTGTGGTTGTTGGCAACACAGTTGTAGTTGTTGGCACCTCTGTTGTGGTTGTTGGCATTTCAGTGGTAGTTGTAGGTGCTGGAGCTAGAATTCAGATAAACTTTTCATTAAGCATTCCCATATCTATTAAAAATATCATATAATTCACACATGAAACAGATATAAAACAAAAACCTTGAGTCATAATCAATAACATTGGTTTGTAATGTAATAGCTTGTAAGTACACGTAAATCACATCAGTTTCAGTAAACTTCATCTAACAAAAGCAATTGTACTGTATAATTTGTTTTTTAAAAAATCACCATTATAAATTGATGGAAACTATGAGCAGCTTTCTATTGGTTATAAAAATTATTCCTATAAATTGTTTTAATAAATGCATTAAACCAAAACAATGTTAAAAATGACATCCTAATTTTCAATGTTCTGGATGGGGTGCGATCAAGAGCAGTATAAAGCAAAGGTCTATATTAGTTTTCCTTGTAGCCTTATGATATTTCATGGTTATTTTTCTTCTTGTTCATGCAATTTTATTGTATGTTCTATTGTATATATATATTTTGCACAGTTGTATCAATTCCAACCATTGATTGCCATGTGCAATTTTGATGTATGAATAAATAAACATTGAATATATATAATATGCACTATATAGCACTTACATTATTTTAATTTATGTAACTGCTAGAAGAATTCTGTATTTTCCCGCAAATACGAAAGGTACAAAACAGGTAACAGCAAACCTTTATAAACTGGAACAATTATTCTATTTTTCAGAGCGTTAAAGGTGATGTTGTTATTATTTTTACAAATGAAAACAATTAAAGTGACAAAAAAAGTTCTATGTTCTAGCGAAAAAAACGTACCGTATTTGAATAAGAGATTAATCAGAAAACAGCATTTTTAATAATAAATTATGTAAGCTTTCCCCTGACTGCAAAATATTTGTATAGCATAATGTAACTGATTTCTGTTTTTCAAAAAAAATGAATGAATAAGAAGAGAAAGGCAAAACTTTTTTAGACTGGAAAAATTATTTTTTCAAAGCGTTAAAAGTAAGGCATAACACCTTTTTAGGAACGTTGGATGATGATTTTTTTTTTGATTAGCGTGTTTATTATCCAAATAGCTTTTTAAAATATAATGACCCACTTCAGCAAAGACGACAATACTATTTCTAATTAAATTAATCCCTGATATTTTACAGACTCTAATAGCACACTTCATCCATATCTTCCTCCTGCAGTGTGAAATTATCCTTCACACTAACCGTAATCTCACTTTCAGCGACCACACATTCAAGGCATTACTTTCATTCTTTCTCACTCGATTTCACTAAGGCCCTCTTCCATCTAATTTTCTTCTAACAAAGTTATACTCAAAAAGTAAATTATTAGCTTTTAGTTGTAAATTTATGCATTATATATATATCATCATGTCCTTATTTAAACACTGTATATGTACCTTTGATGATTTATATTATATTTATTCAACAGACAGATGTGTATAAGAGACAGATATAACCATTAGACATAACCATTAGACCTCCGTGGTCTAATCGTTATGACACTCGCCTTGACAATGAGAGGTCGCAGGTTGGAGTCCCGCCAGAGGCATTTTATTACACAATTTCTTTATTCATTTATTTACAGGACTACATTCGTTGCGAGCTATGCTACACGATGTAGTTGGTGAGGATGCACTTTAATCCTAACCAGATCATAATATCTGTGTGTGTTACCTTGCATAAACTAACCAAGGGGATTTATTATTTCATATAAGGTTTGACTTTGGAATCTGGAACAATGTATACAACTTTGTTGCTTTATTTTGATTTCATCATACATCCATTGCTTGGTGCCGAATGTGGTTCTACTGTATTTGGCTATATTCGATTGGTAAGACACATACATTACATATTTATATACAAAGAATGCTGTATAAACAGAATACAAACTTACTTGTGGTCGGCTTAATTGTCGTTGATACATGCGTTGTTGCCTTGGTGGTAGTCTCTGTTGGTGTCATGGTGGTTGTCTCAACTGTTGTAGTTTTAGTGGTTGTGGTCGGCATAGTTGTAGTTGTTGGCAGTTCTGTAGTTGTTGTTTCTGTTGTTGTCTGAATCGTTGTTTCAGTAACTGAATTAAAACAAAAGAAGAAAATCATCAGTAGGATAATGAAGGAATTTTGACAGAAACCACATTGGTCAGGCTTCAGCAAAAATGTCAGACTAAGAATAAGTGGGTGGCTATAAAACGAAGACCCACATTTTTTTGCTCTTGGACAGAAGACCCGAAAAAGGAAGACCCACATTTTTTTTTCTCTCAATCGTGATGAAATAATGAAATAGGTAACTGGCAACTGTTTTATGATGATTTTGAAATACTTTCAATAAGATAATTAAGAAATAATTGGAGGTCTTCGTTTTTCGGAAAATTTCAAACAGACGCCAAAAATTTCTTAATTTTGATTTTGTGACAGCATGGCGTATTATCATTAAAATAAAAGAGAAAAAATTTGGTCTTCGTTTTTTGGTCTTGGGTCTTCGTTTTATAGACACCCAATAATAAGCACAGTATATTGTAACACTTCTGTTATCTACACCATGTTTGTTGTTATTGATTTCATTGTTATACGTACAACACGAATGTCAGTGTATTATGAGGCGGGACAGACTAACATACAATGAATTTTTATTAGTATATGCTATATTATATACACATCAGCTAGACCTACTTGGTCTTTATTTTGCCTGTTAACGTGGAACGCCAGGTGCGATGTCACTGTTGAGAACGTAAATTGGCAGGACCAGGGGCCACAAATATCAAGATCAAGTGGCGAAGCTCCAGAACCTCCGATAATTTACAATTTAAAAAGTTCATTTAAATTATTCTAGAGTCTTATAAAAATTACATACTGGAGGATTTGTTTTCTTCCCCATGATGCAGCTCCCCACCTCTTGGCGATACCACTTCTTGTTAATTTAGATTTATAATGACAAGTTATTAGTGGAAGTGGTTTGGCGCAGAGGGAATGGTTTTGCGAGTCGAATGGCCACGCGGTTAAGCAGGGGCACCGCATACTACAGCCATAATATTCACATTAGTCCACATATCAAGCGCCCTGAGCATCTTCTGTTAGATGGATTTGGCATTTCATAAAAAAATAAAATGCTTTGCATTTCACCCAGGAGTCGTACCTGGTAGGGTTAAGTTCCAAAATGCGCTCATGTAGCTGCTGCAACTTTATGGAATACTCTCCCATTGAGCTGAAGTTTGTGTACCATGGGCGTTTAATCCAGTGATCGGGGTAATGATCATGTGAAGTGCATAGATGGTTTAACATTATTCGCTATATAAGTGTACCATTATTATTATTCTCGCTCCCGATATAGGGAACTTATTCAAACTCCAGGCCTCCGGCCAATCGTAAAACAAGTATATTACCAATTAAATAGGCGTGCTGCGACAAAATGTTAAATAAATTTCGTTAATACTCATGTTTCCATGTTTTCTTTTCTCTTAAATTATATATATTACATGGCCGGCGGCCCCCCCCCCCCTTTTTGGCCATAAATATATAATGTCTGAAGATTTTTGTATGATCGGAAATGCAAAAAAAGGAGGGAAGAAGGAGGAGAAGGATGGGAAAGAGAATGTTTATCCAGTACCCGACCGAGTTACATTTTCTCACAATTCATATTGGCGGATCTGGGGGACATTGGTCCTGACCCCCTCCTTGGGCAACAAAAAAAGGGCAAAAAGAAAAGAATTCTAGACCTACCTTTTCAGGACCCGTGAGCTTTTTTTTTTTTT